AGCTCTATTTCATTGTAGCGGGTCTAGTGGGGGAGTTCAGATGCTCAGAGTTTTCCTGTTATGTGAAACCATTCTTGGCTGTAATGTCTCTCCAAGGAGCTGCTCTAATTAATGCAAAACACTCTAGATACGACTTAATAAATACTAAGCTTCCTCTAAGTGGCACAAAATAAGATCCTGTATTGAACAGTTTCTCTACATGCTAGAATCATCAGACCAACACATTGTATTTCAAGAAGAAGGAGAGAGAAATCTAGAGCAAACGCAGAGTTTAGAAACAATTATTTCTGCAAACCAACAACTCTTTCTGTCTTATATACCTTAATAAACCCAGTCAACAGGGACCACTCTGGGGTGGGGGATGAACTAAGTAAATAAAGATACACAGAATGCAAAGCCTAAATCAGAATCAAAATGTCTCTAAACAACAGATACTTAAAGAATGCTTTTTATCTGCAAGCTTAACCTGCTCTAATTAATGCCCCAAGTTTGTTCCTTCAAAAGCTTGCAGCTGATTTGACATCGGTTATTTGCAGGCACAGGCAAATGGAGGTGACTCCAAAGGAGAACCCTTTGTTTCTATGTTCTTGAAAATATTCTGAAAGGAAAATCTTCCAAGAAAGTTTTTATTTAGCCAACTACAATTTTTTCACAGATACTTCCTGATTACTTCATTATTAGTTCTGGGGAGTTTGATAGCTTATAGTCATAAAACTGCCAACTCTTCAGTATCTTTTTTTGTATCTGTAGGTCAGAGCCACTTCCTGTCCCAGCTCCAGACACAAACCCTACGAATTCATTGAAGAATAGTGTCAAATATGACCTTACAAATCTTGAAGCTAAAATGAAATGCATTCAAGGTTTTGATGTACGTGGAAAATGGATCAGGCAAAATTTTTAAATACAATACAAAACCCTTTAAATGCTTTCTCCTTCAGATCAGATCTCATGTAGACTTCAAGTTTGAGAAAAGCTGGTTCATCCCTCTCTAGTCACACTTCAAAAGCTGAGAGGTTCTTTATTTTTCCCTGCTCTGCCTCTAGAAGCAGCTCTAACAGTCACTGTAAGCGCTCTAAGATGTTAACACATAGAAGTCTATAAAGTTCACCAAAACAAAAATGTCGAACATCGAAGACACAGGACAGAAGTATTGCCACAAAATTATCCTAATTATCTCAGATACATGTGGCTTGTGGCTTTTTTTTCCCCCCCCCCCCTCTGAGAATGGGAAATGAAAATGTAAGAAGATTCTGACTTGGAAATTCTAACCAAAGAGTATCTCTTCTCCTGATTTTTACATAACAAGTTTACCATCATGGTGCTCAGATAGTGTGTGTGTGTGTGTGTGTGTGTGTGTGTGTGTGTGTGTGTGAGAGAGAGAGAGAGAGAGAGAGAGAATATGAGAATCAATCAGGTGAGGTTGAAAGCTCAGCTTTCAAGTCTGTTGTGATACCAATGACCAGATATTAGTTGAAAGAGGGAAACTGGATGACCCAGGTGCAATTCTGATCTTTGAAAACAAGCTGTTTATGTAGTCCACGCCAAGCAAGGGATGTAAGAGACTTGGAGAGGTGTGTGATATAATGATGTTTATATTGATGTAGATAAAGATTTGTCTAAATCAAAGTTATTACCTCAGATCTGAGTGTTAATTGATCACCACGGCTCCTTGGGAATCCTGAGGCCCACATCGCCACCTCCGCTGGCTTTCCTCCCCTCCCCCATTTTGTCAGAAGCCAAGGGATGCCTGCTGCATCTTGCACTGTAGTGCAAACAGATCCCGCAAAGGGAGAGGAAGATAAAATGAATTTAAATTCCAAAGGGGTTCCAGTGCCGGTTTCCTAGTCCCCGAGTCAGCAATGTGTTTGTGAAAATTCAGCCTTTTTGTCTCCCAGTAAAAAGGAGCTAAATCTACATCGGTGGCCCAGTCTCGGGTTGCTATTCTTTGCATTTTCTATTCGAGTGAATGAGAGTGAATGAAGTGGCCGGGACCCTTCATTTGATCTACTCAATTGCATAAAGTGACAGAATTCTAATATATTTGTTTAATGCTTTTCAATGGGCTTTCACTTTTTTTTTTTTTTTTGCTTGCAAATGAAGCATCCATGGGCAAAGTTTCGTCCCCCTTTAATACCGGGACATATTTCATAACTCAGGCCATGGTTTGAAGTGATCTTGAGAGGAGTTTTAGACTCAAAAAGTGGAAAATAAAGAAACAGATGTGAAGTTATTATAAATTCCTAGAGTGGGCTCTGGGGCTATTGTGCCCCCACTGCGGGCGGTCCAGGGGCTGTGCCTTTCATGCTGTAATTGAAACATATTAATTAGATAATTTGTTGTTAGTTTAAACGAAACAAATGCATCCCCTTTGAGGCTTCACAGCCAGTGGGTTGGGTTGTTTTTGTTTTGCTTTTTTGTTTGGGTGTCTCTCTGCATATGTGGCTTTAGGAAGGAAAAAAAATAATTGACATTTATATAAAGAATTTGAGAACAGATCCTGACCCTTTCTGTTCCTTAAATGGATGCCTTTTTCATTTGTAAAAGTATAAACCACCCCTCACCCACCCCCACCTTGCATAAACTCATGTAAAACCTCCTGTTTGCAACTCTGCATTAGAGTCCCTCCTTCACACCTCCCAACTTCACCCCACTGGGGCACCTGGCCAGATTTATGCTTCTAAGATACTCAATGCTCTTGTCAATTTTAAAGGCATTAAACTCGCTGCTATAATATTTAAGCCATTCTGAGGATCATTTGCTAGCACCACTCCTGCTAGTCATAACACTTTTCAAAACCCCAACCCAGGCCATAGAAGCAGTGAGAACTTGTTCAGCTTCTCTCAAGAAAGTGCGCAAAATTCATCCACTGTAATGTAAGCATTTTCCCACATCACAGAGAAAGCCGTTTATACAGTTGCGTACAGAATCATGTTAAAAACCAAAAGTAACAGAATAGCCAAGTTTTGAAATCAAACACCAGAATTGAAAAAGTCAATCTTGCCCAAAAGTACAAAATAGAAAATAATATTAGTTAATTTGATTCCCAGTTTTATTTTAAAGCAGTTATGTGTTGACTTTGGACTTGAGCCAGGTGAAAAGATTTAACATGACAAAGAGGGCCATTGACGGTATCATAGTTATAAACTTCCTTATTTGTGGGGCACTTCAGCTAAACAGGGTGTAAGTCTCAAAGCTAGGGATGGAGCGGGGTGGAGACGTGTGTTTGGGCTGCCATTGGATTTCTGATCAAGGTCAAAATATCATCAATGGATTTTTTACTTGACTTATTCAACTTCGTCTGAGAAAAGATGCCTGGAATTGTGAAAGGAGGGCTCACAATGCCCAAGTTATTTCATTCTTTGCAATACACCATGACGAACTTACCAGCTGAAAAGCACATTTTCAAATACTGAGTTGAAATCACTGCTTTGCTAAAAATCAGAAATAAGATCTGCATCTTATTTACTTCCATTTATTCCATGTATGTATGTACACATCACCTAACCCTGAATTCTACTGGCTCTTAGAGGAAGCATATTTTACCTGACTAAGCTGATATTTATAAAATGTTTGAGGCCCATGTTTATATGGTTCCTTCATTCTCAGTTGGAGTTCAGTGTTAGTAAAATCGATGAGGGTAGAATATTCCAGAGATGGCTTTAACTTTATTTTGCAGGTCATGATGAAAAGTATTTAATGTTTTTAAAGTGTAGGTGATTTCTTGTTGAGAACGAAGTTTCAAGAGTTTCCTAACTCGGGTGGCTTACGTCTTCCAGGCTTTCTTTAGCTGATCTTGTTGATATAATTGTGAATTGGGCTTGATGAATGAGTTTGGTTGTCCCGTCTGACGAGCTTTGGTAGCTTCATGCATTTTAATCAGTCCAATGATTCATTTATTTTCCACCTTTTTTTTTTTTGGCTGTGTGTGGGATCCTTCCTTTTAAAAAATGGTCACAACAGGATTAATTACCCTTTGCATTAATCCTAAATTTTTTTTCCAGATAACCCTCTAAATATATAAGGGTTGCAGGTACTAAGGATTCTCCTTATGGAGTATAGTGATCACGATTTCTACGTGGGTTTCTGAGTTGGACACAGAATCTCCTGTTTAATCATTTTACACAGTAAAGTGTTAATCACCATTTAAGTTTTTCTTTGTCTTGTAACTTCATTAGTTGAATACACCTCTCACTCTGGAAATAGTGTGACCCCCTTCAATAAAGTTTCAGTTGGCCTTGAGCCATAACTTCTTGGCAAATTTAAACTCTCTGCAAAAATCTGAAGAAAAGCAAATACTTAAAGAGTCGAGCATTTAAAGTAACTTCATTCATTTCTTTAAAATAAATGCATCAAGAATTATTTTCCGACATGAAGGAGTGAAAAGAAATGTGTTCAATTCAAAGTGAACAGGTTTCTTGACATGCAAGGTGAAATTTTAGGGAAATTCTGAAAAAGAAAATTTCAACAACTGTAATAATTTAAAGGAGCAGGGAAAGGAATACTCACTCCAAGTAAGCTGCATTAGAATATAAGCACTGAGTAAACAAGTCTGTTTTTACTTTTTGTATCTCCATGTCATCTCTACCTGATTTGTACATAAGCCTTACATTTGTATGTGCTGTATTTTTTGTAAAATGTATATTTTCAGACAAAATACATATAGAGTACTATATTTTTTCAATAACAGCACTACACCTGTGCACCTTATCTATGCTAAAAATAGTTTGTTTCGTCTTTCTGCAGAAATATCTTCAAGAGTCCATCGGAATAATTTCTCTCACAATCTGCAAGTGCATAAGAGGAGGTTTGGCTATTTTAAACATAAGATAGTAACAAGACAAACTATTCAGCCAATGTATTGCAGAAAGTATGCTTAGAGAAACACTACATCTATCATTTGTAAAGTGATTCTTTGCAGCAACTCTTCAAAAACACACAAAACTAAAATTTGAATTTACATATTTTAATGAGAAAATATTATTTGGACTAGGTTCATAATTTAAGGTAGACACCTTTTTAAAATTCTTTGTCTTAAAACAGGCATGCTGGGAACAAGAACATCAATATTTAAAATGCCATGCTAATTCTGTACAGGGAGAAAAATGAAAGGTAACAATTTTACAGCTCTGATGACGCTACAACTTTTTTTAACTTAAGCAGGTCACACCGGAACAACAGTTCGTTTTTCAGCAAATTACCTAAGACTCTAAAGGAATACAGCAAACAAAAGTGCATTTTACACAGTGTATAATCATTCCTATTCACAAGCATTTACACCTCTTGGCAGCCCTTAGCTTCTTGGATAAGTTCTTGTAGCAAACAGGACTTGTCCCTGGGAGACCTACCCGGTGACATCTCCTTCATGTTACCAATCAGTTTATCTAAATTCTTCTAGGGTTGCCCTTGATGTTGTCTTAGTTTGGGCGTATTTCATTTTTTTCCCCCTTCCAACAGTAAAATAAATAGCTAAAAAGGTCTCTAAGTAATCGGAAAGTTAACATCCCAATTAACTTTCCCATCCCACCTTCCCTCCCCTAAACGTGGCCAGAAATGAAGAGTAAACATTCACATTACAACAGGTAAAGGGGGCTCTGCCCGCTAGCCCGCCAAGCTATACAGATTCAAGTTCACTGTTTACATTTTACCGGGCGCTTTGTAAACAATACAAGGTTACTTTTAGTTTTGTTTTGCTTGTGTGGTGTTGAGGACAAGCTTCCCCTTTCCCGCTTGGCAGCCTCTCCCCTAACTCCCAGCTCCTGGAGCCTCTGGCAGGACACAAAACCCAAAACAAAAAAACTGCAGAAGCCGGGGAGGCAGGCCCTCTGCTCCGGGAAGCTGCGGTCCGCCCAGCCCCTGCCGGATGGGCGGAGGCGAGTGGGGTAGGAAGATTAGTGGTCTTATTTTCGCGTCAGAGTTCCAAGATGAGAACAGAGATCCGGTCCTCCTCTGGGCGGCTGCAGCCCTCAGGGAAAATCTGCTCCAGGAAACCTGGTGTTGGAATGAGCTGCGCTGAGTCGGGAGCCCCACCGACCCCGGCTGAAGGAAGACGCACGCCTGTCCGCGAAGGCGGGAGGCAGGATTTCCCCTGCCTCTTAAATGGGAGGGGTTTCCGGGGCCCCGGGGATGGGACCTCTTGGCTCAGATGGCCCCTGCCTTCCCCTTCTGTGGGGGCTAGGACAATTCCCACGCGCCTCCAGGCCCGTCTGCAAGTTTGTGTTTTTCTCCTGGGTCCAAAACAAAGTTCTCATGGGGGGAGATAGAGTTGGCCGAAGGTGAAATAGACAAGTCAGGGTGACGGTCCCAGGGGAGGGAGGGCAGGACTGGGAGCGAGGGAAGGCGAGTGCGCTGGCGGGGAGGGGAACAAGAGGGGTCGGCGGCCTCTGCGGGTCAGTGCACCGCCACTGAGTGCAAGGCGGAGGCCGGGCTGGTGAGCGTTTCGCTGGGAGTGGCGGGGCTGCTTTGGCTGGTGGCTGTTTGCGAGGACGTGGGGCTGAGTGAGGGTGGCGAGTTCGAGAGCAAGGTCGGGATGGGCGCAGGCAGCGCTGGCAGCGCGGGCACTGCGGCGGGCGTGGGCTTGATGGGCACCGGAATGGCGGGCAGCGTCTGGCCCGCTGCGTGGCACAGCGGCTTCAATGGCACGCCGTAGGCGCTGTATTCGCCACTAGCCATGGAGATGGGGGTGGCCGAATCGATCATGCCTGCAGAACCGTACACGTGTGGCCAGCCAGTGCCCAGCGAGCTGCCCATGGTAGTCAACTGGTTGGGGAGCGGGTAGGCGGCGGGCACGGGCTGCATGGCGGAGAAGGCCAGCCCCCCAGGCATTTTGTACTCGCGCGCGATGATATTCTCGATGGCGAAAGGGTGCTTGAAGCCGGAAGGCTGCGCCACGCCGCCCAGGTTGTAGGCGGCAGCGGGCATCTGCGGCAGGTGCGTGCCCGAGGCCGCCAGCGCGCTCAGGCGCAGCTTGGCCTGCTGCTGCAGATACTGCGCAGCGTCGGCGGGCTTGCTGGGCGCCAGGTGGTCCGACTTGAGCACCTTGAAGCGCTTGCGGCGCCTCAAGAAGCTGCCGTTCTCGAACATGTCCCCGCAGCTCGGGTGCAGCGCCCAGAAGCTGCCCTTGCCCGGCTGGTCTGGCCGCCGCGGGATCTTGATGAAGCAGTCGTTGAAGGAGAGATTGTGGCGCAGGCTGTTCTGCCAGCGCTGCGTGTTCTCACGGTAGTAGGGGAAACGGTCCATGATGAACTTGTAGATCTCGCTTAAGGGGAGCATCTTCTCCGGCGAGCTCTGGATGGCCATGGCGGTCAGCGAGATGTACGAGTAAGGCGGCTTCTGGTCGCTGTACGTGTTGCGGCCCGGCCGAGGCATCTTCTTGTTTGCCCCTCTCTCGCTCTGGGTCCGCGCGGGCCGGCGGCTGCTTTGATCTGAGAAGGGGAAAAGATAATGGGACGGGGGGCATGGATGCACAGACAGACACCGCGAGATCAGCCAGGCCGAGTACAGGCTTCGGGGGTGGCGGGTGAGGGCTGCGGCGCTGGACCAGCCGGCGCCCGCGCTCTTTAGCCAGCAACTTTGCGTACAGACTGGGGCGCAGGCATGGCGGGGGGGCGAGAGGCGCAAGGGTAGGACGGAAATACGCCGGAACTGGAGCGGACACCCGGGCAGGGATGCAACCGAGGGCGGCTCACCTTAAAGTTGCTCCAAGTTGCGTGTCCGCATCCGGGATGGAGCTACTGCTCGCCGCGTCTTCCCTGGCGCGCAGCCGGGGCACAGTGTCCCGGCTTGGCTGGGCTCTACCAGGTCTCAGAGCTCCACAGCTCAACGCCGCAGCGCCCAGCGCTGCCTGGTCCTCAGCGCCTCTGGCCTTGCGCTCCGCGGGTGGCCGAGCTCGGCTGCGAAGTCCCGGCGAGGACGGTGGCAGCGGCGGCCTCGGGGCTCCGGAGGGCGCTGCTGTGGGCTCCGCAGCTCCGCTGAGCTAGGTGGCTGCCTCCATGTCCTCCCTCGAACCATCTGATAGTTTTAAGCGGTGACAGGAGCAGAAAAGACCCCTGTAGCGGCGCTTCATTAATGTGCCACTTCTTAGCTATCATATGACAATCGCCTTGGGAGGAGGAGGAACAGGAGGGGGAGCGGGGGCTGCAGAGGGAGGGGACTGGGCGAGAGGGGAGAGCCTGGCCAGCTCCGGTTTCTTTCACACCTATTTACATGGACACCTTGGCCAATAGGAATCACTTCTAGCTCAAGGCTGGGCGAGGGGGAAGAGCCTCGGCCACCGGCGGGGAGCGGACACGCCGGCCAGGGCGCGCGTCGCTCGCGAAGGTATGAGGAGGCGGCAGCCGCGGAGCGGGGATCCAGGCGACCACGCACGTTCACAGCCCGAGCTGCTGCGCAGATGATGTTTGACATGGAAATTGCTTGGCTGGGGTATTCTGTTTCCTCCGCATTGTATCGGGTTTGTATTGTTTGCTAACTTCAGGCACGGCTTTCCCCTGCCGCAGACCGTTTTCCTGTGCTTGGCATTACCCGGGGCGGGTTGCATGGGTTATTATAATGAAAATACACCCTTCTCCCTAGTCCTGCCTCCAAGAGGCAGGTCAAAGTTTGACTTGACCTTCCTAGGCTGCTGCTGCCTTAGCTCTGCACAGTGGGTGTGTAGCTTTAAGCGATGGAGTTTAAAAAATACGTATAAAAATATCGCGGGGCAGCCCTGTTAAGAGCCCGTTTTGAACCTAACTGTATTGACCACGTTTAAAAAAAAACTTAAAATAATGTATCTGGGCGAATAGGCTAGGTCTTCACTTTAAAAGTCCTCCAGGAAGTTGATGAGACGCAAGAGGAAGGCTCTGGGGCTGTTGGGGCAGAGCTGAAGAGCGCCCCAATTTGTCTGACACACTTTATCCCCAGATGAACCGCAGGATCTCTTGCGTTTGAAATTTTAGGAGTTAGGCTTGCCTGGAAGTTTGCATTTTACAGCCGGAACTCTCTCCCCCCCCCCTTTTTTTGCATAGAAAGAACATATTTAGGGTTTAGAAAGCCCAGCAAAAGCTGTTTGCAGCCCCACTAAAGCAGCCCCACTAAAGCAGCAATATCTTCTAAATTTGCAAAGAACCAGCGAATTTAACTTTTTTTGAGATAGGAGAGGGCGGGGATGTGCCTCGGGTCACCCTGCCTGCTGAGGGGCGGCAGGCTCCCTTCTGTTCTGATTTGTTTCAGGAGGTTCAATTAGATTATTATTATTATTATTATTATTATTATTATTATTATTGTCGTCGTTGTCATCATCAAATTGCAATGAAAGAGTGAGTCATCCCCTCCTGCATGCACGCAGTCTAAGAGTAGACTCTAGGAGTTCCCACTGGTTTTTGCATATTCTTCAACCTCATGGTTTTCAAAAGAAACTTCTTTTACCGTGTTGTTAAAAACGCAATACTTACAGCTCACACTGAATCATCTTCAGTCTGGAAATGTGCGAACTTTTTATTTCTTTTTCTTTTGAGGAGGAGGAGGAAGTGGTGGTGGTGGTGGTGGTGGTGGTGGGAGAGTTCTGAGGTTTTGATACTTTTAATGATATTAGAGCATTATTAGTGGAGCTGTTTGGGATTAGTATTTTTTTAAAATCTTCCGGTGTACACCCCCCCCCACCCACACACACACACACACACCGCCACCACCACCACCACCACCATTAACTACAGTTTCAGAGATGGTCAATAACTCACCAAAACGTAACTTAAACACGATGAATTTAGGAGATTAAACAATTTCATTAATATTGAAATGGCTCTTGCGCCTGGGCTGCCTCGCTTGAGATGCAAGCGCACGTTTTTCAATATTAACAGAAGTGCTTGAAGAAAAGAATAATGTCACCTTCCTAATTCGGAAAAAATAACCAGGAGGCGGAGGTGGGGGCGCGGGGGTGGGGGAGGGATGCTGACCTGTCTCTGGGGGCTTGGCTGGAGGAGGACAGAGAAACCCTCCACTGCTGAACCAGCTGGACCGGGTTGGAACCTCTGCTGAGCTTCGGCAGCTTCGGTGGGAGGCAGGGATACTTTGCGGAGCTTTGCGCGCTTTGGCTCCTAAGGAGGTGTAGCATTTGGGGGTTGTTTGGTGCGGCCAGGTTCGGCTTCAGGGTCAGGGGATGGGAGGAGCTGAGGATCCTGCGGGACCCCTGATGGAGAACGGTAGTGAGGGCTTGTGTTTCTCAGATGGAAAGGCTTTCCTGTTCCAGAAGGCAGCTGGCCTCGGAGGTGCAAACCACGGGGTGCTCCTGTGGACAAGGCAGGAGCGCTCCTGGAAAGGAGAGAGAGGTACCAGCATGGAAGGCCCTACGGACTTTTAGGATCCTCTTAGCAAATATGTGCATACAGATATATAAAATATAGATAAAATATTGAGAGTGGTTGGATTCGGGATATGGGATGATAGGAGTGAAAGATCTGTTCCCCCAATGACAGGAAGATTTTTTTCTAGTGTGTGTGTGTGTGTGTGTGTGTGTGTGTGTGTGTGCGCGCGCGCGCGCGCTTGTTGAGGGTGGGGGATGGCAAGAGAAATGTTTTCTTGTTTTAACAATTGGCATTTTGTTGCCTTGCAAAGGGCCTTTGTAAGGCTGTCGAAATCATTGCTTGGAGTGAACAGTAAATTATAAGAGTGGAAACGTATGGATTAAAAAACAATAAAAATGCCAAGTTGGAATAAATATTTTTCCATTTCCCTGGGAAAGTTGTCATCAATAAGTTTGGGACATGCGAGGACACAAGTAGGAATTTGTGCTTGAGGAATCTTCTAAGTTTGGCCAGGGTGAGGGTGGGAGGTGAGGCTCATTGCCTATGCTTGGGGCTAATTAAGGAAATCAAACCCAATAGCACAAGTTTGCCTTGATGGGGGTGAGGAGTTGTGAGATGCACATTTAAAACGTGTCCTTGGCTACAGCCTTGTGTTTTGAGTCCTACTGAAGATCCGCAAAGCCCAGGGGAAGGGGGGGGGTTGGGTGGGGGATTTGCATGCTATTTACAGCGTTTTAAGACTGGTATTATGAAGAGTGGGGGAGAGGGGGAGAAGGAGCACTTTCCAGAAATCTTGAAAAGTGCATCAGAGTCTATTGTACAGAACCCAAAACAAACAGAAGCTTTGGGGAGAGGGGTACATCCGACCCGGAGGCTTAGGGAGTTGTTGGGAAAACTGTATAAAATACACATAAGTCAATTATACCCATGTGTAAACCAAATGGAAATCTCTTTCGCGCAATAGCCATTCATCGCCTCTGCGGAGCCCACCACCGACCGACCACCTTTCTGCTTGGAGAGTTTGCAATAGCCTCTTTTCCCACAAGCTGGACCACACACGGTTACAGATTTCGTAATAATTTATGCTAATTTCCCTCCATAAATCCACAATTCGCTTCAGTGGCACCCGGGCTGCTGAGGGAGTAAAAAGGAGACAGAGAGGTGACAAATACAATATTGATTTTGATTCCTTCTGTTGTCAAGCAGGTGTATGTGTGTGCGTGAACGGCGGGGCTGGCGTTTGGGGGCGGGGGCTCTGGGAGAGGAAAACCTTGCCGAGCCGGTCGGCCCTTCTAGCCACACTCCAGAAAGTAACGCACCCTGGTTTGTTAATATTTACCAAACACCGACGGGAGGTGGAGGGAAAGTACCCGGCAGCTTCCGAAGGTTTCCTAGGCGCCAAAAACAATACCCTCCTTCCCCCACTTGGAAAGTGAACTCTGAGCTGCCTGGAGCGCTCCGGCTAAGCCTTCCTTGGCCCCCCTCTCCTGCTTTCGCCCTCCATGTCCTTCCCTCCCTCTCCTCGAGTCTCTCCCCGCCCCCAATCTGAGTCTCTGCCCCCTCTCCTCCTTTCCCCTTTCCTACTGCATCCTGTCCCTCATTTCCGTTGCCTTCACTTTCCCCCTCTGCCTTCCACTTTTTCCATCGTCTCTACCAAATGGTCTGTGAACGGTGCTGGCGGCTGGGGGAGAAGGTGGAGGGCTGGAGCGGCGTCGGTTTCAGGCTTTCGGGTCTCCTGCGGCCCGCCCCACCTTTGCAGGCCGCCTCCCTCATTTGCCCAAGTTCTCTGCTCTCTGGGAACCCGCGCTAACGCACCGCGCTGCTTTGTCCCATCAGTCATTCTTCACCAAATCTGCATTTTGGTGGCGTGAAACGACTTAGCTTTCCTTTCAAAAGGATTTTGTTCCCGGGGCATTCAGCACTAAAACAAACTCCCTCAGCCTGTCAGCGGTCAATTAAAAAAAAAATTGTCGTTCCGAGTGTCCTGGGGGCTGTTTGTCCTTGGAATCTGTGCGACTCAGCCACCAGCACCCCCGCCCGGCACAGCCTGGCTCTTAAGTTCTGGAGCTGGGGACCAGAGGGAACCCACTCAGTGAGTTCGCTCGACCTGGGGCCAGGAGACCCAACGGTCTTGTGGGTTCACAGGCCCCAGAGACCCGCACCCAGTTGGGCACCGCATCCGGGGAAACCCAGGGGCCATGACTCTCCCCCGAGTGCCCTGGGAGTTTGATCCCGCACTGCCTGGCCGCTTCAACGGAGTCTGGCGGGAAATCATCCCACCCAAAGAAGAGAGGCGGGGAAGGGGACATACTTTGTGTTCTGGTGCCAAGGGCCAACAGGCAGTGAAAGGACTCTGCTCCTCCCCACCCCCACCCCCCACCTCTTCGCCATCGCCCCCCACTCTCACACCCATGCACTAGGCCTCAAAGGAGCACACCTGTTTTCCCCAACTAGTAGGAAAGAATGTCTGCCAAGGAACTTTGGAGCCATGTGTTTCATTGGTTGGTGATTGGGTTACATGGGATTTGGACCTACTCATAACAGGGAGGTTGAAAAGAAACTTTTGATGAGTATATTGTCTAAAATCAATTCCCTCCCCATCCAGTCTTGCTGGGTTCTAAGAAAGGCAAGAGTCTCCACCTCCTGCATCCACAGTGGGGGGCTCAAACTCAGCGGTGTCCCCTTCTTATTCCCTGTTTCCTGGTGAGGCCTGTTAAGACCTCTGGCTATGGCACCTGCAGTTGAAACCTAGGTTTTCCTTGGGTTTGAGAGAAAGGGTGTGGCCAACACCTCACCCCTTTAGAAGTATTTCCCTAGCAGC